GTGGGTGGTTTTTACCTCCGAAAAACCACCACCCGCCCCCAGCCAGGACCCCCCGATCCAAGCTCCCGCAGAAACTGGGCGTTGTGAGATCCTCAGGACGCTGGACGTCTGCGCTTCCAAAACCACCCTGACCACCAAGGCGATGTCGCGAGCAACGGTGAGCCGGTGCCGCGGACGGCCTCGGAGTTCGAAGCGTGGGCTGGTGGGGGGAGCTGTGACCGTCAGAACCCTCCTCATCTCCTCTTACCTCTCGTTGCTCTTCTCTCATCACTGTCTCCTCCGACCTCGTCCTCCTCCTCCTCCTCCTCCTCCACCTCCTCCTTCTTTCATAGGGAGGTACATCCACCCTCCTCCTTCTCTTCTGCGTCCCTAGCAGCTTGCCATTGGTGTTCAAGGGACTTGATGGCCAGGCCACAGTACCAAGGGATGGTAACTAGATACTTGCCAAGAGGACGCTGCGGCACTACAGCGCACAAGGCATGGCACAGTGCAGGATGGAAACGATCAGTTGCGACACCGAAGCTAGAGTCTGGCATTCGACCCCTCCCATCCATACCTTTCAATAGCGATGAATACAATTCAAGTCGTCGAGTCGGGTGCCGAATCGCACGCTATTCTCCGTTTAGATGACAGCTGCCATCCTTGTACTGTACAAGGACATTCGAGGCAAGGTGAGGCCAAGCAGTACTCAAGGAGGTCGGGCGACGTCTGGGAGAAGGGAAGGCGCGCACAGTGGAACAGCGCAGTGCAAGAAACAGACATGAGGGGAAGGGGAGGAGGTGGAGGACAGGGAGGGGAGGGGAAAATTCGCAGGGCGACGACGAGGAAGGAGAAGGTGGGAACAAAAAAACAAGAAACGTAGTGAAAAGGAAGAGTAACGGGAGGAAGAGATGGAGAAAGACGAGGAGAAATGTGGAGGGGAGACGAGGCAGGAGAAGCATGAGCACAAGCGTGAGCGTGACAGCGAAGACGACGACGACGATGGCGACGACGACGACGACGACGACGACGACGACGACGACAGTGAGGATGACGACGACTGCGAAGATGACGACAACAGCGACGGTGACGACGGCAGCGAAGATACCGACGACAGCGAAGACGTCTTCTAGAGGCCTCCTAGATGGGACCCTAATAAATGGGGTCGGAGGATCGCGCCGCATCGGCGGCGTCGGCGATGCACCGGCGCCATCGGCGTGGAGAACATCGGGCTCCACATCGAGCCGCATCGCGATCCTCCGACCCCATCTGCTCCGAACCCCGCCCCCGCTTGAGAGGCCCAGATCCTCCCCATCCTCCCCACACACCCTCCTCAGGCCCACAAGACCAAGAGGAGGAGGAGGAGGAGGAGGAGGAGGAGGAGGAGGAGGAGGAGACGAGAGGAGGAGGAGGGAGAACGAGGAGGAGAGGAGGCGGAGGAGGAGGAGGAGGAGGAGGAGGGGGAGGAAGGAGGGAGGAGGAGGAGGGGGAGGAGTGGGAGCGGACGGCAGGGGAGGAGGAGGAGCGAGGAGGAGGAGGAGGGGGGGAAGGCGGAGGAGGAAGGGGAGAGGAGGGAGGAGGAGGAGGAGGAGGAGGAGAGGATAGGAGGAGGAGGGAGACGAGCGAGGAGGCAGGAGGGAGGAGGAGGGGAGGAGGAGGAGGGTAGGAGAGGAGGAGGAGGAGGAGGAGAACGAGGAGGAGGAGGAGGAGGAGGAGGAGGAGGCGAAGGAAGGCGGAGGGGAAGGGGAGGAGGCGAGGAGGAGGAGGAGGAGAGGAGGAGGAGGAGGAGGAGGAGAGGAGGGGAGGAGGGGGAAGGGGAGGCGGGGGAGGAGGAGGAGGAGGAGGAGGAGGATGGAGAAGGCAGGAGGAGGAGGAGGAGGAGGAGGATCTAGGCACTCCCCATCCTCCCCATCCTCCCCAACCCCCTCCTCTGCTGCTCCCCCCCCCGATGCCAGTCCAGGGATTCAGCGGCATCCGGGGCTGCAGCGCAAGGGTGCCGCCGGCAGAGGCCTCCGCTGGAGAGGCCTGCGGCCGGATCGCGGGGGCAGGAGAGGAGAGACAGGAGGGGAAGGGGGAAGGGCAGGGGGGAGGAGGAGGAGGAGGTGGAGGAGGAGGAGGAGAAGGAAGAGGAGGAGGAGGAGGAGGAGGAGGAGGAGGAGGAGGAAGGAGGAGGAGGGAGGGGAGGAGAGAGGACACAAGGGGGAGGAGGATGAGGCGGATGAGAAGGAGGTCAGGAGGAGGACAAACTAAGGGGAGAGGAGGAGGAGGAGGAAGGAGGAGGAGGAGAAGAGCTATTCGGAGAAGGGAGGAGGAGGAGAGAGAGGGGAATGAGGAGGAGGAGGAGGCGGAGGAGGCAGGAGCACGAGGAGGAGGAGGAGTGGAGGGGGGAGGAAGATGAGGAGAGGAGGGGAGGAGAGGAAGAGAAGAGGAGGGGGAAAGGAGGAGGAAGAAGACGGCGAGGAGGATACTGGAAAAGAGGAGGAGATGGAGGAGGAAGAGGAGGAGGAACAGGAGGGCGAGGAGCAGCAGCAGGAAGAGGAGGAGAAAGAGGATAAGGACGCTTTGGGCGTTCTGGCCCAGCACGGCATGCAGAGGAGAAGGAGGAAGCAGAGAGGCAGCCGAGCACCGAGTCCTGGTGCCGAGAGGGAGGGGGAGGGAGGGAAGGGAGAGGTACGAGGGGGAGGCAGGGGTGCCCCAGGGGACACAGGTTACCCCACGTCGCAGTGCGAGGCACACGGCACGCCGTTCCACGCCCCCCAGGCCCCGATGCCCGAGGCGGGGCCAGGCGGCACACGCCCACAAGCCGTTCCTGCACCAGCAGGCCGACCCCCCGACCACACCGTACCACTCAGCGCGACGAGGAAGACGTTGATCCCACGGATGAAACTGTCGTCGCGTCAGCGCCAGGAGGGGGGCAAGGAGAACGAAGAGGGGAGGAGGAGCTGGGAGGAGGGGGGAGGAGCATCGAGGGACTTTGGACGCATCTGGCCCCTTTTGATCCTCTCGGGCTCCCTGGAAGTTACCGAAGAAAAAAGAAGGGGGGCGTAGGAAAATAGGAATGCGGGAGACCAGCCTGACCATCGTTTAAGAAATTCTGCGAATTCCCATCCTCTCAAGCCAAAATGGCCACTTCGCGAGGGCGCGAACCGAAGAAGGTGAATACACTGCCCGGGCGAGTGAGCCAGTTGAGCTACAAATGCACACCGTGAGGACGAGAACCCAAATAACACCACAGAATGCGCGCGCCGCGGTAGTACGCCGTCGTCACGGTTCCCACTGCTGCTTTCAAGAACACTGCCACCATCATCATCGCCGCCGGAATCATCACCATGAGTCGGACTCTATTCCCTGTATGCCGTTCTCAACTGGCTAGGCGCGCCGCAAACAAAGTTGCGCTGTGATTATGTTCATGGGTGGACGGAAGGAGCGAGGTCATAATATCCTCTGCCCGGGGATCCAACGCGAGGTGAGGTCCAACGGTCTCTTCACAAGATCTGCAAACCTGGCAACCCCCGTCATCTGGAAACACCACGCATACGCATGTTTTACACAACAAA